CCCATGACAAGATCATTCCCTTCCTCCTTTTCCACAGGTGGAAGGAGACAGGAGTGCAATTCACTGTTAGCCTGTGCTCTTTGAGCTTCCTGAGACCATCATCTGAGAAGCAATAAGGTCTCCTCTTCTTTCCACATGAAAAGAAGAGGAAAGGGGAATGATCTGATGTAAGCTGGTGCTTCCAGAAACCATGTGAAGAGGGGACCCAAGATGTCAGTAGGAATTATTTATGATTGGACATAGCAGAAACCTCTCTACCTTCACAAGGGATTCCAAGGAGTGATCGATGGGGGACCCCCAACAGACCAGATTCTGAACACTGGCAAGCAAAAATAGGTCTGGAAGCCAAAAGAGTTCTTTCCTCTGGACTAGACATACTGACAGCAATATTGGCTAGTAATACTTCCTTCACTGTCATAAAAAGTGAGACAAAAACACCATCACCACTGCAACTGCCAATATTTTGTCAGAAAAAAAGAGTTTTATACGTATATCTCTACAGCAGCAATCACATCCCTATAGTCACATGCCAGCTGTCTTGGAAAACGGTAGGTATAGAATTAATGCCAGAGAGCTGACATGTATACCCAGGTTAAATGTACACTTGTATCAAGATTCTCTGTATACCAATATTTTAATTGGGCCTATGACAGATCCATAGACCCACTTAATATACAAGGTCTGCCCCAGCTCTTGATTATGCTGATGTGTAACCATTATTGTGAACAAGAAGCTACTTAGGACAAAATATGGAGAGACAGAATGGTTTTCTGTGGGCAAAGGTGTCAGACAAGAGAGCATTTTATCCTCTTATCTGTTCAATCTGTACACAGAAAATATCATACAGAAAGCCAGACTAGATTCAGATGGAAGATTGAAATTAGTGAGAGAAATATTAGAATTTAAGAAATGCAGATGACACCATCTTATGGCAGAAAGCAGTAGTGACTTGAAATGTCATTTAGTAAAATTGAAAGAAGAAAGTGCCAAAGCAGGGCTATTGAAAGGCAAAAATCTTGACTACAGAAGAATTATGCAACTTTAGCATTGACAATGAAGAAACAGAAGTGGTGAAAGATTTTGTATACCTTTTTTCAATCACTGATCCAAATGGAGACTCCTGCTAAGAAATCTGAAGAAGACTGATACTCAGAAGGGCTGCAGACCAACATAATCCACACTCTTGTATTTTGAATCGCCATGTACAGATGTGAAAGGTGGATTGCAAAGAAAGCTGACAAGGAGGAAAATGGTTTGTTTGAAATATGATGCTGTAGGAGAGCTTTACAGACACCCTGGACTGCCAAAAAGATGGTCCTAGAGCAAATCAAGCTTGAAATATGTTTGGAGGCAGAAACGATGAAACTGAAATTGTCCTACATCACGAGGAGGTGAGATTCTCTGGAAAATAAAATAATGCTGGGAAAAGTGGAAGGTAGCAGGAAAAGAGGAAAACCAAATATGAGATAGACTGAGTTCCTAAAAGAAGGGAGATGGTTGGTTATTTTATGCATATGTCACCTTTCTCCCTATGGAGGATCCAATTGTTTACTTCTTGTTTATTCCTTGCAGAACGGAAAGCCATGGGGGGAGGGGAGGACACTGCATCAAAAACGATACGCAGAAACTTGTATAAGAAGCCCATGGTGCAAACAAAGCAAGTGGATTGGTCTTCTTCTACTTAACCCAGGGTCAATAAAGTTGCCTTTTCTTGCACCCATCGTTGTCTTCTTCATTGCACATCCTAATTCCATACAATTGCAAAATGCAGCAGCATTTATTTTTCCTCCAACAGCTGACACTAGATAAATACACAGAGATATACTGATTGATTAAAATCCAGGGGTCCCAATCTATCTGCAGGGAAGTACAAGTGTTTAGGGTCAGCTAAGTGTTAACACTACCAAGCATCTCTTTGAAAGAAAAGGGGAGCTCTGTCTCCTTCTTCCCTTCCTAAACAACTGATTGGTGCTATCACTGTCTGCCAGAACTGAACTATGTGTGTGTCCTGTATGGCATCTGAAAAGGGACTGAAAGCTGCTTGGCATGCAACAGTATTGCAGGTAGAGCAGGACGCACATGAAAGAACAGATTTAGCACTGACCTGTCCCACCAGCTACTGCTTTGAGTAGAGGGATTAGATTGTTGGACCAGGTCTTAAGGCTTGTCTACACTGCAGTTTTGTCCCCAGATATACCAGATTGTTTGGGTATTTTTCTGGTTGCAGAAATGAACAGATAATTTCACTACTGGCCTTCACACATTGGGAAGTGAGTTTGTTGCCAGATGTACTGGGTTGCCCTGAGCTGTCCCAGAATCACCAGTCTATACGTAACCAGAATATGCCTTGAGATCTTATTCCCAACATAGATGGCTGTCCCCTTCTGTCTCTCTTCTTCACCCTGTCTCTGCCTACATCATTTTCTCTTCCTTTCCCTCCTTCTTCCACGTGCCCACCATTCTCAAAGCGTCATTATTTAACCATAATACTTTCTCATTTTAATTCTTTTTTAAAAATTGGTTTCAGTTTTGAGCAATGGTGCAACAGTGCTAATATTTACAAAAGAAAAGAAAAAGGGAATTGAAATCCCAAGAAAAGCAAACAAGGGTGGCAATAAGGCATGGGGGGGGGGGAACTGACTAGCAGAAACACACCTATAAGGAAATACCATCAAATGACAGAAACCCACAAAATGCAGGGCATACTGGGCTCCACATGTGGTGGAGCAGATCATGCAGTGGAGTACATATTTCATAACAAAAACACATTACTAGTAGTGATGTAAAAAACCTGGAAAGGAAGGGTTTTTTAGTCTCACTTTGATTCTGTTGAGACTAATTTCAGTTGTGTGCCGTGCAGCTACAGTACTTGACAGCATAGGTGCAAGGAAAGCTCAACAAATGCTCAGTTGTTGACTGGCCAAAGATTCAAGTTCAAACTCCTCTTCACCATGGATCTCACAGGGTAACATTGGACTAATCATCCTCTCACTGCCTGGCCTACCTCATTTGGCTGTTGTGAGGGAAAAGGGAGGAGGAATAAATCTGTGGATGCTACCTAGGGACAACATCCAGGGAAGATGGGATATAAACACAAACCATCCTTTCTTCTCCCCAAGCCATGATGAAAAGTGAGAATGAGTGGGTTTTTTAGACCAACTTGATCCTGGGTATCGCAGGTGTCCATAGCAAGACAGAATCCTGCTGGATGTTTCACTGAGCACAAATAGATGCATAAAGAAATTAAAGTAACTACTGTGCTATTAAACAGCTGTATTTCACTCCCATCGCTTGTGCATTTACATCAGCATATGTGTCTCTTCTGCCATTAGAGAAATTCATCCTCCAGCTCTTTAATTGTTGTTAATTCCTGATTACAGAAAGGAACAGATGGCAGGTAATTAATAAGCCATCCATTCTCCTAAGGAGGGACAGGTCCAGGCATGGTAGTTTGATGGCCCCTGTTTGTGGGAGATAATTTCAAAGCAATTCCTTTCTGTTGTGAATATGAGTGGTTAAACTGTGGTTCCAGAACAAGGGGATTTGCCTTTCATTAATAACTTCAACGGTCTGTTTTCTATATCTATGATGCTTTTCCAGTCTTCAAATAATATAAGTCATAAAACCTCCTACTTCCCAACAAAGTAGGGAGCTGAAAAATTAATCTGATGCAGATGTGTTCTGAAATATGTAAAAATGTCTGTATCATTGCTGTGTTGCTTTGGGAACTACTGTATGTATTCAGCACAATTTAATTAAGCTGAACATATTTAAAGCCTGCTGACTTCAGTGGAAGAATTTAACAGATCCTAATTCTTTCTTTTTTAAAAAATCAGTAAGTGAGGCAAGAGTTGTATTACCATGTTCTTGTTATCATCTATTGCTTCACCTACCATTATGAACTGAATATCAAATGGGGGTCTAACAACTGTAAAAACCATTCTCCTTAATATAATTAACATTCATATTATTTCTGCCATTGTTATTGTATGCCAGAGATTCTTACACCCCTTTACAGCATAAGCTTCAACAGAATAGTTCTGAATATCAAACAGGTTATCACCCCACTGTTAAATACCACATTGACTTTCTTACCAACCAGCCAGCTGCAATCTCTGTATTTTGATGTTATGTATAAATATTTGCCATTATATCTCTCTCTCTTATGTCTGAGGAAGTGAATTTTATCCATGAATGCTCATATTAAAATGTAACTTTTAGTCTTGAAGGTGCCATAGGATTTTTGTCTTTTTCTATTTTTTTTTAATTTTCATTTTGCTTTTGCATAGAAAGCAAGACACACGTCCTTCATTTCCCTCTGTTTCAGAAAAATGCTAGGAATGTTCTTCTGTCTTGAGATATCCTCAGGGTAGATGAAAAGTAGCAGGCACACACATACCCTTCTTTGATGTAAAATGAAGAGTTATCACTGAGGTGCTCAAGATGACCTTTTCTTGCAATTTTCAGATCTTGTTCTACTCTGTAATTTGCAACATGCTGTTTCCAAATTTCCTACTTATTGCTTTCCCTGGAGCACTGTTCTAGGGATGGATCTGGCATGCTTTTCAATCCCTTGGCAAATGTACATTGCTCCTTGCTAGTGTAACACTCTCTGGTTCTATCTATCTATCTATCTATCTATCTATCTATCTATCTATCTATCTATCTATCTA